TGACTATCTAAAGCATTACACACGCGTCTTCTAGATGTATGACCTTCATCTTGTTGGGTAGAAACTTCTTGATCATTAGAATTGCTTTCTTCTTGTTTGGAAACATTGTTAGATTCAACTAAAGGATATTTTGACAACTTTTCTTCATCCTTCAAAATGGAGAATACAATTATACATGGGATGAGTGAGGCATGGATATATCTTTTAATCATGTTTAAAAAATATGTAAGCAATAAGGATACCAGAATTGACTCAAAGAGTTGTTCATCATCTCGACCTCTCTTATGACAAGTGGACTCCAATTGATCAATCATATCACTTGTAAGGAACTTAATACGCGGTGTTCCAGCCGGTACATTTATAATTGACTGCTTAACCAGATCTGCATACATTACCTGGGCCACGTATAAGGTTGCATAAATAATTAGACATTGTTTCGAAACAACTTGAGCAAAATCATAGATAACATTATGTAATTATAATTTAACTAGAATTGTGTACTCACAATAAGGATGTGTAGACAACCTTGAAGGTTGATATTCCTGACTTTCATTCTCCTGGTGTCTTTGATATCTCTAATTAAATAATTCACAACAAAAGTGCACCAATTCATTAGAGGAACCTTTGACATATCTTCCAAAGCACCTAGCAAATAACTTCTGTTGATATTGTGGCAAGTAGTCGGTGCCAAATATACACATAATATGATCTCCATAAAACAAAGACAAAACTTTTCTTTGTATTTTGGATTCTTGTATGTTACCAATTCTTTTTCTACTTCCGCTAAAGTCTATCCTTTTCCAGCTTTCTCTGACATGAATTTCCGTAGTTTTATAAATGCCTTATCTCTAGGATTTCTAGCAGGAGGCATTGGAATATCCAAATCACCATATGGGAACTTGAGAATATTCTCGACCGCATCCAAGAAAGATATTTTTCCTATTTCTTAATGCCAAATACTTGCTTTTACAGTCAACCTTTTTGACAAGCCATAGCAACAGCCGAAGAGGTAGTTTATATTGAGGCATATCAATAATATACTGCAATCCCATGTCTTGAATCCATTGTAGTTGCCTTGGTGTTAATTTCTTTATGAGTTCTGCAAGTGTGTGAGAGCTACATTTCCAATTGATGCTCTACATATAAATATTACATATAAGCTTAAGACTAAGAAAAATCAGTACCTGAACTATATCCTTCCGATTGGCCCTCTTAATCTTCTTTGGAGAAGTTCTTCTGCTGTTAGTAGTGCTTTTGGATCCAGAAGAAGCATCATCATCACTAGATCCATTTGTAGAAAGTTCAGACTAGATTTGTTATGTTGATCTTGGTGATTTTCTAGGCTCCATATCTGAATCCATAGAAATTTATAAGACCAGGATTCATAAAAAATTACATTTCAGTGAGAAAAGCATTCCATGCATTCAGAAATGTTGATGAAAAAATTGAATATAATAAATGTAAATAATAAAAACACCATTTTAACACATATAGTAGATCACATTTCATATTTAGCAAATATTGAACATGTGCCTTTAAGAAATTTCTCAATCAAGGTTTTTTTTTTCGTACTTTATGCTTCACTTTTAATATTGAACGATACACAGAGAAGTTAAAATTTGCTTTTGCGACTATATAGCTCACTTTTCATCATGTATAATTCATATTAGCAAACTTTAAAAGTTAAAATCTAGAATTCACTTTTACAATTAAACTAAAATATGTTAAAAATTTCACATTTCACATTTTGAATCTCTAGAAAGTGCGGCAAAAATATTCAGCTAGGTTCATCAGTATAATTTTCACATTTCACATAACAGATCCATCTAATTGTTTTCAGGATTCACAAAAACATATTAGGTTAACAATAAGCAATATAGCTACAAATCCATCTTAAAATCTAAATGAAGAAGGCTTTTAGAAGGTCGGAATCAAGATTCCGTCTTTGGGATTAGAAGGGGCAAGTTGTCCGCATGAAAAATAGCAAAACAAGATGGAAGAAAAAGAACAAACCTGGAGCTGGCTTTGTTGGAAATCCACCCACTCCGACGAATAGATGAAACACATCAACTCCTCCACGACTCAAGAACTTTGATTCAGCCTCAATCCATCTTCGCGAGCGACTTCAGCAAGAAGTAAGACCGCAGCGACTCCGATGAGAAGAAAGAGCAGCGCGGCAATGATCAAGGAAGAAGGCAGAGGGAAAGGAAAGGGGATTCGGAGAGTGGGAGGAGGGGTGAAGGTTACCACAGAGCAGTAAAGGTAAACTAACGTAAAGTGGGTGGTGGGGTCCGGCATGTTTTCCTGACATATTGTAAATACATGAGGACTACAAACAAATACAAAGCATATACGAGAGACTGGGCCAGCAGAAACATGAATCGCGACGCAACACATCTGGTGTAGGATCCACCTATATGAGACGGAACCTCTGAATATGACTTTCCCAGCCGTAGTACTATGTGGCCAATGCGGTACCACGGGGGAACCTCTGCCTCGATTTACCCATGGATCTCATCCTGCCCATTCCCCAGAGTGATAGTGAATTGGAAACAGTAGCATGCTCTCATTGGGATTTGGGTTGTTTGCTTTCATTACAAAGTGAGACAATAGTTATTAATCGACATGTGTGGTATTGTCACATCCTTGCCGCCCGCGAGTCGGTGATGAATTTTGGACAAATTTCGGGTGAAAAATTCAAAGTTGGGTTGGGGAGGTTGAAAGGTAGAAGGTAGAGGGTGAAACGAGCAAGGGGATAACAGAGAAAGAGGCTTAGACTAATTTCATTTCACTGATGATTCTCACTTACACGGTATGTGGCTTATAATGTTGTCTTCCTCGACTCACATCAACATAGCCCACTTTCTATCCCATGGCCTAACACACTGCAAACCCACTTGAAGCCGATGGCTTTATTTAATTTCCCCGCCTTCCTCAATTGGTGCCGTCTCTTTTAGTTTATGCCTTTCGGGTTATTTAACCTAGTCACAATATCGCCAATACTTGACATTGCCCTCTCATTGAGAACCATCTAGTCCTCGGGCTTGTGCTTCTGGATAGCGAGACTTGAGCACCTAATAATCATCCTAGGTGTCTGCAGATGCTGATAATCCTACAAGATTCCTGCAGATGCTGGAACAATAGACCGCTTGATCAACATGTGAAAATAGGCATTGTTTCCTTTATTAACCAAACCTTACGGTATCACTCCCCGCAAGAAAAGATCTATGATCTAGCCAATGAACCTTGAGTTCTGACACATGAAAAACCAGATGCACCATACTTACTCGGAGTAACTCCAATTTGTACGCTACACTGCTAATCTTGGCAAAGATTTTAAAGATACCAAAGAATTTCAAGGCAAGCTTCGGGCATGTACATGTACGGTTAACCACTAAAGACCAAGCATGTGTCTGCAACCAGAGTACACCATTTCCCCTTTAGAAAATTCCCTTGGAGATCTCTTCTTATCTGCATAATACTTTTATTTGAACCGGGCTTTGGCAAAATGCTCTTTCAGGTTAGAAGTGTGTTGAGTTTGGATAGATAGCTAGGTATGCACATCAGGATTCAAAGAGGGACCTATTGCAGGGGGGTTGTCCTATGTTTGTCTCATGTCCATACAAGGCTTATAAGGTGTGCAACCCAGAGAAGTTTGAAGTGGAGTTATAGCAAAACTTAGCTTGAGGTAGCCAAGAGGCCCACTTGGCAGGAGCATCATGAACACCAAAATGCAAATACACCTCCAAACACTGATTTACACTTTTAGAGTCTAACCAGCTGTCTAACGGTGGTAAGCAGTGCTCATCTGCAATTATGTGTCCCAAACTATGGAAAGCTCCTTCCAAAATGCACTAGTAAAGATGTTATCTCTGTCACACACATGGAGAGTGGTAGCGCCATGTAGTCTGACAATGTTGCTCAGAAATGCTTTAGCCACTAATACTGCAGGGGAAGGAAGTTTGTGTGACGCCCCCGATTCAAGCATACACTAATCATGCACGCAAATGTGTACGATTAAGACCAGGGACTCACGGGAAGATATGACAACACAACTCTAGACACAAATTAAAATAATACAAGCTTTATATTACAAGCCAGGGGCCTCGAGGGCTCGAATACATAAGATCGAATACAAACAAGTCAGTGGAATCAACATTATCTGAGTACAGACATGAGTTAAACACTACAGGAAACATGTAATTTTCCGTCTGTGGATCACAGATGGCAAAGACCGAAATCCCGACGAAAAAGATTTTGTCGTCACGAAGCAGACGGCAAACTCAGATGGCAAAGATATGTCGGCAAAGAATAGTTTGCCGTCAGCTTTTCATCAAGAAGATGGCAAAGACTTTGCCGTAAGCCAAATCTACTTTGCCGTCAGCCTCATAAATAACAGACGGCAAAGAATGCGTTCTTTGCCGTCAGTCAAAACATTTTCTTTGTTGTCATCAAGACTAAACTAAAGACAACAAAGATTGTTTTTTATTTTTTATTTTAAAAAATAACGTCAGTCGAAGCATTCAGGGAGCGGCCACTGCTACTTCGGTGAGATTGGGAAGGGAAGCAGAGAGGAGGGAAGCTGCTGCTTCCGTGGTCCCGTAGTAGCCAACCCCGGCAGCGTGGCTAGAGCAAAAGAGGACGATTGCGTCACTACAGAGATTTGCAATACAGATCCGATAAAAATGAACGTATTTCTTTGACAAAAAGAATCGGATTTACAAGCTAGCCAGTCTTCACATGTATACATACGAGCAAGAATATCCTACGAGTAGCAACTACTAATTGTTCTGCACACCCGATTCACACACGGACAAGTGCCAGGATACATCAAATTCAGATCCACTTAAAACACATGAAAAAAGCAACACACATGTTGCTAGCCTGGGCAGCCTAGATCCACCGGGAAGTAGCAGCGTCGCAACCGAACCAAATGTGTATAGGGCCCCAGTCGCAGCCAGCAAGCATACCAGGACAACACCAGTGCGACGAGGACGGACATGGCAGCTTGGGTAGGAGCAGTGAAGCAGCTGAGCCGAGAGTCATTGACGGACCTGCTGCTGGGGCAACACACACCGGCGGATGGATCTAGCGCGCCTGCGGCTCAACGCTACCACGTGCATGGATCCCTTCGGGCGGCGATGTGGTTGACGTTGGGTGGCGCGAAGCTCCGTGGCCATCCATGGCATTGGGTTCCTGAGAGGGAGAAGGCAAGGGGTGAGGTATGTGGGAGAGATAGAGAATGAGGGAGACAGGCAGGAGGTAGGTGCGGCGGAGCTTGAGCTGGTGCTCGTCAGCGGCTTGAGGAACGGCAGGAGGTGGAGGTGGATCTCGGCTGGGAAGGAGGAGAGGCGTGGGGGACGGGAGAGATAGAAGAGGATAAGGCAGAGAGAGAATAGGATAAGAGGTGGAGGTGGAAGTGGATCGTGCACAGGAGCAGCGCGCGGTGGTGGATTGCTGCCATGTCATCGATCCACGAGGTGGATCCACCTGCTGTGCTTTCTTCTTTGTTGTCTACGGTTTTTTCTACATACGGCAAAGTGAGCTCTTTATCGTATGTAACAAAAAACACACACGACAAAGTCTTTGCCATCTGCATTTTTTATTACGGGTGACAAAGTGAGCTCTTTGCCATCTGTAAATAAAATTGCAGACGACAAAGATTCTTTGCCAACTGTAGTTTTTGTTGTAGATGGCGAAGTTTCTATTTTCCGTCATCTGTTCTTTGCCATATGCTGATGACGGCAAACCCTCTCTTTGCCGTCTGCCTCGCCAAAATGCTGATGGCAAAGAAAGTAATGACGGCAAATCTCCTGTTTGCCATAGTGAAACAAGTTTTCCTTAAGAAGACTAACACATAAGCAATATCGATCAAAAAGGCAAGGCCTCCTGCTTGGGAGCCTCCCAACCACTCCTGGTCGTTGGCGGCCTGCACATAGTAGTAGGCAACCTCGATGTACTAGTAGTCGTCATCGAAGGTGGCGTCTGGTTCCTGGGCTCCACCATCTGGTTGCAACATCCGGAAAGAAAGGAAAATGGGGGAAAGAAAGCAAAGCAACCGTGAGTACTCATCCGAAGTACTCAACAAGCAAGGATCGACACTACATATGCAACAGTATGAAAGGAAGGGTTGTATATGTGGACTGGGCTGCAGAAATGCCAAAATAGAGAAAAGGCCTAGTCCTATCGACGACTAGCATCTTCAGCATCTTCAGAGGTCTTGCAGCATTAGAAGAGTGCAGATTAGCATAATGTAAGGTAGTAGTACTGTCATCATCCTCGCCCAGAGATCCTTTCTCGACTCCCTGCGAGAAAGCAATCCAGAGCCATACTATCCAGTTATCACCTCAAGTATCCAGTTCTAGTTGTATCGATCGGGATACAACTCCGAGTGTCCGTTACCATAGGACAGTATATCGATAGATGTTTTCTTCCCTCTAGGGGTGCACCAACTTACCCTCCACGCTCGATTAACCTCGTTTGGACACACTTTACTGGGTCATGTCCGGCCTCGGCCAAATGATACGCCGCAACCCGGCCTAGGCTTAATATAGAGGTCAGCACGCCGGACTAAACCTATGCCCCCAGGGGTCTTGGGCCATCACCCTGGGAACTCATGCATGTTGCGTGGGCGGCCGATGAGCAGACCTAGCCTGCCTTATACAAGGCGAGGCGTCCCAGTCCAACCTAGCGCGTGCCTCTTAGTCGCATGACGTCTATTAAGCTTCGAGTGATGCATACGACGCAGAACGCCCATACTATGCCCACGTGATGGTTAGTACTATCAGGCTAGAGGCCTCTTGGGTCAAATATCCAAATCATAGTGAATTAGGAATGCGCGGTAACGAGCAGAGACTCACGATCGATGTGACCCCATCGCCCCGTCTTGAGGACTCACGGCAAGGGCTAAGAATGTCCGGCCACACCTTGTAATTATCTTGCAGGCACCTTCTAGGTCAACCCAACTCCACATCACTCGCAATTAAGCTCGCGCGGGTACCCCTCGGGGCCGACCCATCTTTAGTAACATGGTTCAGTGTAAATTCATAGTAACCATAGTAACCGTGTGTCTAACACCAAGGGGAACCCTGAGGAATCACACTAGATGGAATTCCATGTGATGTTATCGTCAAGGTGAACGAAGGAGGAATCACCCTCGGGGTCCACTCTTGAGGAGTTGCACGACAATGTTGTTATCAGAAGTGGAGAAGGGGGAATCACCCTCGATGACCATAATCGATGAACTAACCAACAAAGTTAACATCAGAATTGCTGATGAGGTATCACCCTCGGCACTTGATACTAACCCAGTAGTGTCGAGCAACTAAGGGGAAAGTGATGTGCGGTGCCAAGGCCTGGTCTTCGATCCCGTTGATTGGTTCTTCTGACAATCCAGTGGGGTAGTCGGGACAAACACTACAAAAAAAGACACATCCGTGACATTTTTGGCCGAACGAATTTTTTTTCTGTCATACATATGACACTTCTATGATGATAATTGTGACAAAACCCAGTATCATCATAGATGTGGTGGGCTCCTACTTCTATGACAAAAAATCATGACAGAAAATGGGCTTTTCATCCTGGGCGGGCCGGAGATGCAGCGGCATGACATTCTTTGGGCTGTCCATGACGAAAAAAACCATGGTAGAAGCGAGGGGGAGGAAACTTTTTGGGAGTACCCGGTTACGGTGGGAGGTCATGGGCCGAGCGATGCGCGCTTCTCTGGTACACGTACGCGTGTGTGTGCGAGGCGTTGGCTCTAACTGAACCCGAGCGAGGCGTTGGGCTCTAACTGAACCCGAGCGATTGCACTGCAGGCTACGCGTTACTAAACCCGAGCGATCGATCGATGGCTGTTAACTGAACCCGATCGAGCGATTCCTTCGCTACTGCTGCTAACTGAAGTCGATCGATGCTGCCTCTGTATGAACAGTGAGCGTTGTGGGGGGTTTGGATGAACAGTTCCCGGTGGGGGTGGATGAACACGACCCCGTGATGTTGCCTCTGGATGAATAGGACCCCGATCGATCGAGCCGGTTGGGGCTGGATGAACAGGACCACCCTGTGGAGGGCAGGATGAACAGTAGATGGTGGAGGGCAGGATGAACAGTAGCCCGTGGAGGGGTGGTTGAACAGTAGCCCGTGGAGAGGGCTGGTTGAACAGTAGCCGGTGGAGTAGCGCGCGGTGGAGACTGGATGAACAGGAGCCCGTAGATGAATAGTCGCAGGTGGAGGCTGGAGGAGGTCGACGGTGGATGAATAGTAGCTCGTGGAGGCTGGAGGGGGTCGACGGTGGAGATGAACAGTATCCCGTGGAGTCCCATTTTGCGGTACGGCACACCCCTCCCGATGAACAGGACCCCCGTTTCGACCGTAGGAGGTCCGTTTCCTCCGTTTTGCGGTACGCCAGACCCCTCCCGATCAATAGGATCCCGTTTCGAATGAGGCCGGTCGAACACAAGGCCGTTTCCTCCGTTCTGCGGTACGCCAGGCCTCGTTTCCATCGCCTGTTCCGTCCAAGCCCTCCCGATGAACAAGACGTATTCCGTTGCCTCCCCATGAACACGACGCATTCCGTTGCCTCCCCATGAACACGACGCATTCCGTTGCCTCCCCATGAACACGACGCATTCCGTTGCCTCCCCATGAACACGACGACGATGTTGTTTCTCCGTTCCGACCCAGCCATGTACACGAGCCCTGGCCGTACGTATGCGTGAGTAGGCGTTCGAGACCCCGCCCATATGTACATATATGTGGTCGTATTTTCTTTCTTGCACCCTGGCCGTTGTACGCATGTGTACATGCTATGTGCGCGCCTCTACTACGACACGTGCGCGCCTCTACATCCACCAGTATATATGTACATACATGTTCGCGACCAGAATGACAGCGCTACGTACGCTTCGACTAGGTGGGTCCCGACTGTCAGGCACTAACTTGCGTGCGAAGATGTAGCTGGTGGTTCCCAACAGTCAGGGGCAAACATTTTTTTCACGAAATACGGTGGCCCGTCCGGTGGGTCCCCGCTGTCAAGTGGATGAATATTTATTTTGCACGTAATAAGGAGGCACTTCCTTGCTGCGGCCGTGGACCCAGCTGTCAGCCTCTCCACATACAGTCCACATCTGATGGAAGCCATTCCTTGACCACGTTGACCACGCCGCGCCAAGAGCACCAGGGCGGTGGACGACGGCGAGGCCTAGGAAGGGGACGAGGCGGAGCTGGGGAAGACACGACAGTGGATGCCCACGCGTAGAGGAGTACTAGGGTTCACTGGTTCGCTGCGATGTGAGGTTGCCGTCGCCATAGAATAACAGGGGGTGTGGGTGAGTAGAGGGATGGCCTGGCCAGCGGTGGGAGTACTAGGGGGCGGTGAGGCCTCCGCCGCATCGCAGCCGGCCACGGGAGGCAGGAGCACGAGGCACGACCGGCACTGGTTTGGGCGGCTGGAGTAAGAAGACCAGAGGTTGAAGAAGCACTACGGCCGTTGGATGGACATCGTACGGTCACTGGAGCTAGAATCGTGCATATTGACTAAGTTGACAAAGCCCTCCGTCCCCGTCAATTTAGTAGGCCCACAAGTCAGCCTCCCACCAAGGTGGGTCCCAACTAGTAGGGGGTATTCATTTTTTTGTGCGTAATAAGGAGTCACTTCCGGTGGGTCCAAGCTAACAGCAGGGGGAACGTTTTTTCGCGAAATATGGTGGCCCGTCGGGTGGGTCCCAGCAGTCCGGGGCAAATGTTTTTTTCTGATATACTGGTGGGCGTCTGGTGGGTCCCTGCTGTCAGGTGGAGGAATAATTATTTTCCGCATAATAAGGAGGCACTTCCTTGCGGCTGCCGTGGACCCAGCTGTTAGCCTCTCCACATACAGTATTCTTCCGATGGAATTCGGTCGTTGACCACATTGACCACGCCGCGCCGATAGCACCATGGCGGTGGACGACAATGAGGCCTAGGAAGGGGATGACGCAGAGCCGGGGAAGACGCGGCAGTGAATGCCCACGCGGAGAGGAGTACGAGGGTTCACTGGTTCGGCTGCGCTGCCGTCGCCGCAGAATAACAGGGGGTGTGGGTGAGTGGAGTGGAGGGATGGCCTGGCCAGCGGTGGGAGTAGTATGGGGCGGTGAGGCCTCCGCGACAGCACAGCCCACCACGGGAGGGAGGAGCAGGCGGCACGACCGGCTCTTTTGGGCGGCTGGAGCAAGAAGACCAGAGGTTGAAGAAACACTATGGCCGTTGGATGGACATCGTACGGTCAGTCGAGCTAGAATCGTGCATATTGACTAAGTTGACAAAGCCCTTCGTCCCCGTCAACTTAGTAGACCCACTATACTGGGTCCCAGCTAGCAGGGGCGTATTCATTTTTTTGTGCGTAATAAGGAGGCACTTCCTTGCGTGCGAAGATATAGTGGTGGGTCCGAGCTGTCAGCGGCAGTAACGTTTTTTTCGCAAAATACAGAGGCCGTTTCGGTGGGTCCCAGATGTCAGGTGGAGGAAATCATTATTTTGCGCGTAATAAGGAGGCATTTACTTGCGTGCGGCCGTGGACCCAGCTGTCAGCCTCTCCACGTACAGTCCACTTCAGATGCGTGTCGGTCATTCACCACGCTGACCACGCCACGCCGAGAGCACCAGGGCGGTGGACGACGGCGAGGCCTAGGAAGGGAACGACATGGAGGAAGGGAAGACTCGGCCGTTGTTTTTGTTTCCCACGCGGAGGGGAGTACGACTGTACGAGGGTTTACAGGTTCGTCTGCCGCCGCCGAAGAATAACAACAGGTGTGGGTGACTAGAGGGATGGCTAGGCCAGCGGTGTGAGTACGGTGAGGCGGTGAG